CGCTGGAGAGCGAGGTGCCTGTCGGCGGCCTGCCCGTGGCGGTGTCCGTCCCTGCCCTCTGGTAGCTCTCCCGGTCCGGCCTGTTGGGCGGGTGAAGGGGAATACTGTGGAAACCGGGATCTCCGGGGAAGCGCCTGTTCCTGTCAGGGACCGTTTGAGCTCGCCTGACCGCCTGCGGCCAGAGCTGCGTGAGCTGCAGATGTCTGCGACAGGCCGCCTCAGGGTTGCCTCCAGTAGCAAACACGGTTGGAAGGACAGCGCGGCGCTGCCGAATGAGCAGTGCCGGCCATCCGCAGCGGGTGCGGGGACAGGGAGTCGCAGGTGGCGGCTGCTTTATCAGCAAGGCATCTGGGATGTATGCTGGCAAGAATCATTTGTCAGGGTCCCTTGGCTGAGCTGTAGCGCTCCTTTGGTGGGCTTTCGATTCCAGTGCCAACCGGAACAGCTTTTTTACTGCTCCTTTTGTTTTGATTCTTTCTGCCTGCATATAAAGTATATGGCCATCTCACAGGTCTTTAAACTGAGCCGGTGCTCTAATGTCCTCCGAGTGCTGCATTTGTGTCGGTTTCTAAAGGAAAGTGTTCGTGTGCAGATCTGATGTGAGTCACTTGGTTCTCTCTTCCCTGCCAGCCGCATTGAACAGGTTTAGGGACAGAGAGGGTTTGGAAGCTCAGGAGCCTGGGTAACTTGTAAACCTGACAGTTTTCATTCACGACCTCGCATTTGTGGCTGTGGAACTTATTTTCTTACACTTGCAGTGCAGGTATAACGCTGGACAGTGGACTGTTTGTTTTAACGTAACTGCTGAGGAGGCAGAAATGCCCTATGTTGTAAGAAGTGCTAATACTATTACCAACACTGGCTAAAGATTAAAGGTATACGCAAAGAGAATTTGAGCAGGCTAACATCCGTGCCGTTTGCTACAGTCGGGATTTTAAAAGGTGCTCGAGTGAAGTAGGTACCCGTACCTGGCTTGGCGCTAAGCTGGGATCTCTGTGGGAAGGAGACATAGCTAACGGTACAGCCTGGGAGATTTATCAGCTCAAAGATGTTATGGTAACTAACCGTGCTATCTGTCCACATCCACTTCAGTGCAAAGACAGGTTAGCTCCCTGAAGATCCAAGGTTGTATGTCAAACAAATTTTCTGGGTCACTCCGGTACGAAAGAAGGGTATCCTTTATTACTGGAGAGAAAGAAATCGCTCCGGTGGTGCCTGCCAGCCATAGTGTCTAACGCAGTTACTGTTGTAATGCAGAGCCTTTGCAAATGGCTGAAAATGGGGGCTGAGACCTGGCACGGCAGCTGTTTTTCATACACTGTCTTATCCTGGCCTTGTTCTGCTGGCTTTGTACAAGGAAACAGGGATTGAGGTGCAATCGAAGAGGTAGTAAGGTAGGTAAAGACTAAAGTGCAGGGAGAGAAGGCACTGGAGTCAGGTCAGTCTAATCTGTGCGGGATTCAAATCCATCTCCTGCTGTCAGTGTGTTCGCTGTCTGAGGAAGTAAGCTATAAACCTGGATATACCACGGCAGTAGCTGAGCTTTACGGAACGTGTCACGTCCTTTGATACCTGGTGAGGTGGTGACTGGTCCTCGTGCAGGCTGCTGTTCCCTGGTGCCTTAAGAGGCTTGGTTCTCATAGCTGTAGCAAAGAGCGTTTGCCTTCATAAGTGCGTTTACTGCCTTGTGCTTCCCAGCGAGCTTGTAGTCTTTCATCAGAAGTCCTACTCCTACTCTGCTGGCACAACAAACTGGGGGTTCTGCTCCTCCAAGAGCCTGGTAGGTAGCGCAGCACGTGGTTGCACGCGCTGCCTTTGCTACATTCCTGTGGTGAATCGTAGGCTTTTGTGTGACCACCTTCTAAATTAAACTCTGTGTTACTTTATGACGTTTATTGAGACAGCCATAAAGAGAGAATATTTCTCCGTCTCTCGGTGCTTTCACCTATGATAGCTTTTTTTTTTTTTAACCGAGGCAATGGATGTACACTCAAAGTCCTGCTTTAAATATACGCTCATTCCCACCATTGCCCAATGAAGTCCGCAGTGCCTTCTTCCAAGCCAAGCGTCAGAACCAGCACTCTGTACGTGCTTGGCCTGTGCGAAGCAGCTGCTAAAGTCACGCTGTTCTTGAAATCCTTGGCCTCCTTTTCCTCTCTAGCTTTGTTACAGCCCGGAGGGCGCAGACCTCGCCGCTTCCTCTCCAGCCATTTCACAGCAATACAGATACTTCATCTATGTGGGCGAGTCCGTACCTTTACTTAACCAGATATTTGTATATTGTTATAGTCTTTGCCTGGTATTCTGAAACTTCTTCACAGTTACCTAGTCAATAGCTCCGTCTCAGCATAGCTTAAATATTGAGCTGCTGCTGCTTCTTTTGATCCTTTCTGTATATCTTTTTCCAGCCATTAGGGATGTTTCCCTGATTCTGTGTGTAACCCGAGTATCCTCTCTGACAAGGAAGCATTTCTACCTCCTTGCACTGATGTGACATACGACCCTGCAGTTCCCTTACTGTGCAACGTTGCTAAGAGGGAAGCTCCCCCTGTAAACTAACGTGGGATTTCATCATCGTGCGCCCCCGTTGCCACGACATCCTTCTGCCCAGCCTCGACAAGTGCAGTCAGGTACCGTTTCTCACAAAGAGCTGCTGTAAAGCTCGCTCTACCCTCTCACTTTGACCAGGCTGCCCATCTCTTGGCACGGTTCTGCTGGCACCATCCCTTGGTTGCATCACAAACTGTGTCTCTTTTTCTACATCCTTCCCAGCACACCCCTGCCTGTCTCGATTTCGATATGGAGTACTTACCCTTGCCTCAAACTGGTTCACTGCGTCAGTTTCATAACCTACTTGATGCGTTTTCAAATAAGTGCCTTTGCGCTCTCTTCTCTGCAGCTCTCATGCTTGGAGGTTTCTCCATAGATTTTGCAGAGCAATCTCATCGTCCTCCTCAACGTTTCCCTTTTCCACAGTGACAACTGTTTCCTTGCTGCCTATTTTTCTGTAGCTGTCTGCTGCCTTTCTAACGCTACTCGGTGCGGTATCTGTTTTGTGCTTGTGGGTAACACCGTGGCACCCGGGTCCATGGCTGGGCACGTTAGCAACACAGATATCGAGCATGGTAACAAACGAGTTCTATATTTATTTACTGAGCAACAGAATTCAATCGCTGCTCTTCCTTGCCATTATCAAGCCCAGACAGAAGTCACAAATCTGTCACGTGTCCGTCTGGCGAGCAAGCCCTTCAGGGCACGTGCTGTTGTCTTCTGTTTGGTGCCGCACTGCGCGCGCAGCCAGAGCTCTACAGCAGAAGAGAAAGGAGTGTGTGGTGACCAGGTGCCCCTGCTCATTTTCCTGGTTTGTTTTCCACCGTAACTCATACAGAAAGACAGGCACGAGACCGCAGCAACGTGCAGATCTTGTTCCCCAGAATGTTTTCTTTCATCTGTAATCTCTTCATCAAAATCCATAAATCACCTAGTTAAGACTAAAAAGCACAAACACGACTGTAATTTGTGCCTTCCTGCCCAGTGTTTCTTTTGGCACACGAAACACCAAGCCTTTTCCTGAAAAAATTGGTGATGACACTGGGCAAGGATTCGGTGAAACTGGACAGCGAGACCACTTGCATTCCAGGTCCGCTGCCCGCGTCCATAATCCCTGCTTCCTTTTCAGTCACTGTAGAAGATTCAGAGAGTAGAACAATGGTTTGTGTGTCTGTGTTCACTCTGGAAATCCCAGCGTCAGGCTCGTTTCCCGGCGCGGGGCTGTTAACCCGTAGTGGCCCAGGCAGGCCGTGGAGCCGAGTGGAAAGGGAGCCTGGATTGAGACGCCGAGGCTGCGGCCCGTCACCTGCCCTCGCCTGGCTCCAGCAGCGCGTAGGGAGATTAGCGCCTTCTCCGCTGCCCCGCGGCTCTGCCATCTGCCAGCACGACCCCGCGGCTCCTTCAGCCGCTGCTGTCCAAACCCTCCCAGGAGCTGCAGGAACCTCGGCGGTCTTGTCTGACCTGGAGCAGTTCCACCTAACGGCGGGGAGCCGTCGGCTGAGCAGCCCTCCTCGGGGACCTGAAGGGACGACGCCTTGGCTGGGGAGATGCCGGTGGGCACAAGGAGGCGGTGATGGCAGGGGCAGGAGGCTGAGGAGGTGGAGCAGCGACTCTGCCGCTTTTCCTGAGGCTTGGAGGAGGCAGGCTGTCCCCGAATGGCTTTGTCCAGGCGCCTCAGAGAGAATGCTTGCTTTTTTTTCCCTTGGGAGAGGACTCCAGGGACTCTCTTTTCTGAGCTTTGAGCAGAAACAAACGAAATTGCTCAAAATCCTAAAACCTGTACTGGCTGATGGGGTCTGCCAAAGTGGCTGGCACATCTAGTTGGAGTGATGCGTGTCTTAGAAAGGTGCAGAAGCTACTGAGCTGCTCGGAAAACACCGAGTTTTCCAGTCAGGAGAGTGACGGCAGTGTTTGAAAGGCTGCAGGACAACCGATCGTACGCGCCACCGCTGTGGCTGATCGGCCTCCTCGAGCCGAGGGGAGAACGGGGAAATCCAGGAGTCCCAGCCCTGTCACCTGTTCTTGCATCTTGTGACGGAAAAAGAGCAAAACCGTTTAGCTGAGGAGTATTTCATACGGAAAAGGATTTTAATCAAAGCGTGTCGCTCTGTCCTCTCCTCTCGGCCCCGGAAACAGCCGCCGGTATCTCGCTCTAATGTTTAACGGCAGCGACTCACCGGTCGCATGAGCCGGTTGTACCGCGTCCCGCTCGCACACCTGCCTGTCTGTGCTCGCGCTCCCCAGGGCCGTCACGCTGCCCGAGCCCAGCGGCCACCCTTCTTTCTCGCACAGATTATTTTTATCTCCCTTTGTTTGCCAATAAAAAAATCCCTCCCAGTTTTACCGTTTTCCATTTGACACGCGGATTTTTCTCACGTGCGTTTCCTTCTCCCCAGCCAGGGCTGGAGGGAAGGGAGTATCCTGGATAACCTAGCGCCAGAGGAATTTTCACATGCTTTTCCACCTCAGGTGAGATGGCCTCCGGAACGGTGTCAGTGATGTTCCAGGGCCAAAGCGCCGCCACGTCCGAGTGACAGAGATCCCGGAGCGGCAGAAAACCACCCCGTCATCCTGGAGGATCCGCTTGCCAGCGCCCTGCGTGGCCTTCGCCCAAACCAGCTGCCTCGGGGCACCGGTTCTTCCCGGCGCTGGGATCGCTGGGAAGCCAGGGCTTCTGATTCCTTACGTGAGGTCTGAGCGGCTGTGGGAAAACCTCTGCCCCGAGAGGCTGAGAGAGGGGCCTGGTTTTGCTGTTGGTTAGGGGGACGGGGGTTGCAGGTGGCTGGAGGACAAGGAAAGGCTGTAAACGGTGTATGAAAACGTCCTGCTGGCTCAAAAGACCAGAATAAAGGGTATAAAGTAAAAAAAAAACCCCAATAAAGCACAAAATAACAGCTCCGATCCCATACTCGCAGAACGAAACCCGCGTCGGAAGGGCGTGCGGAAGGCGTCCTCCTTCCGCCCCTTGCTCCGCGTTTACCTTTCGGCAGGTGGGAAACGGCCTCGGAACTCGCGCGACCCCTTAGGAGGTCTCCCCACGCCTGCTGGGTGAGGACTGGGCCTGCCTGCAACTGCCCCT